AGGAGAGCTAAAGGGTGAGCAATAAAAATTGTATTCAACTTCTTGGCTACGAACCGTGTAAGCTCAGAGGTTTAGTTAGTTGTGTTTGGTGGTCACTCGTGTGAACAGAAACATGAGATGTTGAAGCTACACTCGTCACGACACTGATCATCATCTGATAGTCTTGATAATCTCAGTGAAAATCTCTTCTTGAAAAAATGTGGCGAGTAAAGAATGAAGCAGAAGACGGTAGACTCATGAGACACTCGAGTGCACAGTTCTTTTTAAATCTGAGGTAATCCTTCTAATTAAAAAAGAGGAAGGGTGGGGAAGTTCCTCCATCATTCCTCAGTGGGCGCAGTTTCGCTCTTCTCATTAGAGGCGCCATTGATGCGCCAGTAGTGAAGAGTGCGGGACTCCGCCAACTTTGATGGAAAATAAACTTTCCCAAAAGTAGTGAATGTAGGGCTTGTACGAGATTATCATGATGTAAATGGCTTGGAATCTGGCTGGCTTCAGCTGATCTGGCTTTAGCTGTACAAGATTCCAGTTGATGCAATATCGTAAATAACTGGCCACATTTAGGCAAAATGACCAGAACTGTGTTTCATAGCTTCCATGGGCCATAACTTGTTATTTCAATTTATTACATGGGGGAGTTTTGCAAACTGCACACTCTCTGCTGCACCATATCTCGGCCCTTTTTAACATAATAACTCCCAATATGGCACAACTGGAGGCCCCAGGACAGTTCTATCGAGTTAGAAGTCATCTGAAAAGCTTTATTGGCTCAAAATTCATGTTGAAAAACATGGGAAGCAAAACGTGTTGAACAGAAATGACTTTGCTACTCAAGCCAAAGCTTTGTCATCATTGAATTCAGAAGGCAGAGCCACCTCATAGTTTTTTCGAAGACGTCATTCCGTCCCATTTGTGAAGCACAGCAAGTGCGTCAGTTGCATTTTTGATAATCCGTCTCCACCTTCGCTTATCAGCTTGTGTAATTCTACGTAAAGTCTATTTGGCACGTCATTTTATATTACGTTTACTCGTGGTTTCTAGGTGAAGCTGTTGCCCAAATGGATTCAGATCATCTTCATTTAGTACTAATTGTTTTTGGAGCTGTTTTTGATTCTGAAGCCATCCGAACTGCTCCGAAAAATTGTAGTCAACAAACAGAAGCCGAATAGGTCACTCTGCTTTTCCTCTAAAGCCGTCAGTACCAGCTATTCGAGCATCTCAATGTTGGCTCCAATGGAGAATTCCAGGCTCATCCGAAAACCTCTACGTCCTCGGAGCGTTTTTTCATTATAAAGCTGATTTCATTTTGAGATTTTGAATAACCTTATTGCCACACGGTCACTGCATTTGTGGTGAAGGTGGTCTAGATATACAGATAGAGTGTCTGTTTGCCTGCCACGCCTTTATTGAATATTGTTTCTTGATGCTTCTGTCGTACTCCGGTATTGCTTCACAGTTTGTTGTTGGACGACGTGCAGTAATGAGTGTAGAAGAGTCGAAACAGTGTAGATGAACAAGGAGAATGAAAAAACCCCCTTCAACGTGTCCTATATACCACATTTGATTACATATTTGATTCATTAACAATCATCCTATCACAACCTCATTTCTACGGAACTCTTTACAAACAGCGGCAATGTTTCGTACAGCATTGATGAAGTGAATTCCATGTGGATTTCAAGTGTCGGAGCTTTCGATTTGTTACTTCTCTTCTTGGTCGTAGACGATAAGCCGGAGAGGGTGAATAATCCGCTTTGGATTACTCCCCTGTATGAATTGCATGTAGTCGAAGTAGACAACGGAAAATAGGGTTGTTTCACGTGGTTGATTTACATAATTGAATCGAACACTTCAAAAAAGGCAATCGCTGGCCAGTTCGGAACGGCATCAGAATTCACTTCCTCACTGCCCACGACATGCCCAATAAAATTTACCCGGTAGGTTTGTACCTCATGTAACTGTGCACGGTTGTATGTGGCTCAACCTGGCATTTCACCAATTTCTATGCGCCATTTGTTCTAAATATAATGCATGGTTTACGATCAGATTGATTTTGCAGATTAAGTGCTGAAGGGGAACTGTGGACTCCTGAGATTTGGCGTTTTGGTCTTTTCCCATCACTAGTGGGTTGGGTTGAGTGACATCGAGCTTGATTCCTATTTTCTGGAAGTACATTGTACATCGACGAAGACGAACCATATTACGACTTTTCAGAAAAAGGCATCCTTTTCAGCTCATAATCTGCAGAATCAGGTCGATCATCAAAGGTGTACTTTCAATTTTTGCCACGGATAACCATAATTGCGTTTTTACGTTCATAACTGCTTATGGTAGTGTAATTTGATTAAATTTTGAAAAAAAACTTCAGGCTGCATTACTCCAATGCTATCACTTCCGCTCCCATTTCTAGATTTTGCATATGCTAAAAGGGAGATTATTGAGGAGACGCCCTTGCTGAAATCTGAAACCACTGAAAATGCAAATTACAACAGCATGAGTTCTTCCACATCGCTTTCTGATACTGTT